ACTCTGTAAACCACTTAGAGAGGGCTGAAAGCCCTATGAAGCGGTATATAAGTCTAACTGCTATTGCTATTTAAGGTGGTGGCCTAGAAATCAGAAACCTGACTTCTAGCCCCATTTTAGATATGGAATCCAGCTGGGTGACCTGGACCAGTCATTCTCAGCCCAACACACCTCACAGGGTTGTTGTTGAAAGGAAAATAGGAGGAAGGAGCAAAACTTTTACATTCTATAAGAAAGGTAAATAGAGTGAGATGGACAAGAACAACTGGAGATCGGAGGTCCCCCCAAAACCATCCTATATGCTATGAAGGGCTTTATAATGACAACCAACATGTGATCATTTATTTTACAAAAAGAAAACCAAAATGGAGAACCCATGTGTGAAAAACTAGGTATATCCTTACTGGTTCCATATATATATGAAAAAGCTAAGTAGCAGACAGATGCTGATCAAGTGTCCTTGATCAAGTGATCATCAGCAATTGTGACTGCCTCTAGTTTTAGGAGATTACTAGTAACACAATGCCAAAGAAGAAAGACATCTTAGAGAAGCAAATGTTTCTGCCCATAAATCTGGTGTTATAAGGCCATTTCCATTCCATTTCCATAAATTTCATACTCTTCGTTTACTTTATATGGTAATATCATTTTCTCAAAAAAAAATAAAAATCTTCCTATGTCTTATAAAGACATCTTCAGAGCTTTTATCATTCATAGTTAATCAGAAATTTCCATTACGAGCTATCAGAAATAACATATGGAAATTTAATTCCATCAAATAAGGTACCACAAATTAATTTCCTATCATCTCTCATAAACTCTTGGAAATTTAACACTTTCCTTCCATTTTGATACCATAGCTTATCACTTTCTCTAATACAAGAAGAAATATATTCTTCCCATATTTTGTATATAAACAAACCTTTAAAGCCTTATTCAGTCTTGGTAAAAAAACACCATTAAAATATGCTAGGAAAGAAAATACACATACATGCACACACACTTTAACCTTGCCGAATAAGTCAACTTTATAAATCTTTTTAATTTTAAAAGTTTAATATTCATTCATTTTAAATATTGTTCTAGGAGCTGATTTCTTTTAATTCATCTTTTTTCAGGAATTCCTTCAAAGGTATAATACATCTCTTGTAAATCCAAAATAAGATATTGAAGTTGAAATCCACACATCCAAGTCATTCTTCCGATTTGTGTGTCCTTTTAACGTTTAAAATGTTAATCAGTTTCAGTTGTAAATCCTGTGTAACATCTTTATCATTATTGTATTATATTATACTGTAATTTTAAATCCATATCCAAAATAGCCTGATTCTCAATTGTATCCTATCTCTTATTTTTAACTCAGTTTTCTAGTAAGAGACAGTCTGAAATTTATCACTACTTTGTTGCCAAATAAGATTGCGGAGAGCAATATACTGTAGATGTTTGGAGAGCTGTAATAAAACTTGTCTTTCTAAACATTCTTAATATCCCAAAAGCAACATTTCCAGTGATGCTGATTAAGAAAGGAAGTGTGAAAACTCAGTGCCTTTTGAAAGCTCCAAAGCTCTGCTAGGGCAAGGCTGATTCTCCTGACTCCAAAACTCTAAAGGCCTTCTATATGCTCCCCATCACAGTGGCAGGCATTTTGCTGACATAATAGCAATATATTAATTATATGTTCACAAATAATAGGAATATACAAGTACAATCTTATCATGGAACTTTCAAGGATTTATTTGTCAAATTGTATAAAACTTCAAAAATGAAAATTTCACAATCACAAGGATTCAAACATCTGTTAGCATGACCAATAGAATTTATTAAACATAGTTATTTACAGTTATTTACATATGTTTCTATCAGGGAATATTAAAATAGACAATATACAATTTAAGATTTCTCATTGAGAGGCATGTAAAAGGAAATAAATTGGACACTTGAAAAACTCCTTTAGAGACCAGGATGTAAGAGCTGGTTTTTTAATCTTGTAAAGATTTTAAACAAAATACTCTTTTCAAGTTAAGTCACAAATATGGCATTGTAGCAGCAGAGCAAACGACAAATGGCTCTGTGGAGTTAAGACATAATCCAATAAGCACTGCAACAAACTACAATGAAAAGGGATTCATGCAAATTTCTCTGAATGAATGGATGCTGTACAAAGCAGTATATTGGATTGGTAACAAATATTTCAATCAGTTAGATACCCTGTAGTAGGGGAAAAATTCAACTGAGCTAGCATGCAGTACCACTCAATCAAATCTTAGCAGTGATGGTGATGAACAAGCAGCTAAATCAAACACCATGCTTCTAAAATAAAACCGTTTGTACATTACATATAAGAAACAACAACAATTTTGGTCCAATAAACATTAGACAAAACAGTTTTACAATTAAAATATCTATTTTTGTACAGGGCTGAACATTAAATATAAGAATATTTACATTTGCACAATATGTATAAAATAAGTTATTTTAAAAAATGAAAACAATATAACATTTTTTTCAAAAAGAAAACTGTACAGCAACCTATAAATTATGTAAGATGAATACTCTCTCATTCTGCACATTCCCACAAACTTAAAAGTTCTTCCATAGGTTTTTGTTGTTTTTGTATGTTTAATAATAAAAACCACTGAAGTTTTAAATAGACTTTTTGGTGGACTTACAGCTGCCAGCGCTGTTAAATCTTGAGTAAAAGACTGTCATAGATAGATTTATTGAGTAGATG